CTTTTTACACTTCCCTTTCTTCAGTGTGTTCAATACTTTTTCTCTGTGCCATTCCACATTATTACAAATAACTTCATTTCTTTTGATTTCTTTGTATGTATGGATCACTTGGGTTGTTACCGACATCTGGTGAAAATTTCATGTCATTAGCACCTCTAGTAATATATTTACTGAGAAAAATGATGACGTGTTCAATACTTATTTTACCCACTGTATATGTAAATATATAACACCTAAACCTGTGGACCACAAGAGGTCATCAGAGAACCACTGCTTTGTTTTACTGACCTCAGTTTGTGTCGTTACAGCCTCTCAATTAACAGATAAAACATTATTATGTTAGAAAATTAAAAACTTTAACATATTTTACTACTACATAATCTGTGTTCTGTTTCATCACTTTTTCATTTTTAGTTTCAAATAAGTAAATTGTCAGGATTTTTGCATGTCACGCTGCTTTCATTAGACGACAGAACATGGGTCATTTAAACTTTATTAAAGTCAAATTTATYTCTAAACAATTTTTTTTTGTTGGGATGCACGTATTATTTAGCTTTAGGTGACCAGAAAGGACCGGTTTAACTGGTGACTGGACATCAAACATTGCGATTTATTATTTTATTTTTGTTAGTGAACACAGCAAAGCTAAGCAATTATTTTCCACTATTGTCTATGGTGCTGAGGTTTTTACAGTAAAAAAAAAACAGTAAATATTAAATCTAACCAGAGTTTTGTGAAAAAAAATTCTGTTATTTTTGCTTCTCAGAGAGAAATTTGTCAGCTTTACAAAAATCAGAAACTAATCGATTTTCTTATTGGGAAGAAGTATTTCATCATGTTGAGCCTTGACCAGGTCTTTTTTCTCAATATTCTTTTTTTTTTGTTACTATATWAAATGAAGGTGTGTGTTTAAGGTGCAGAATTCTGTTTTTCAGAGTTTTTAACAAGAAATTTGAGACACATTAATACAAATGAAAAATCTTTCTGTTTAAACGGTTCAGTTATCAACAAACTGAGCCTGAAGTTTATTTACGGGCTAATTAAAGACAATGATTTGTGTTGCAGGGAGTCCTTGCTATCCTGCTCAAATATATGGCAAAGACAGGCGTTTTTGGAGGAAATACATCCAGTTTGATTTTAACCAAATCATCAGATTGGCCACGCAGGAGATCATTCACTTCAAGTGACCGGTTTAACCTGAACACAGCAGATCTGCCTTTGAGTTTTTGTTCAGCTCGGATTGCACGCACAGGTTTTCTGTCACGTATGTTTTGTTTTTATCATATTCATTTTGTTTTGTATATTAGTTTCATTGTCATGACTTTGCTTCAATAAATGAACTATTTTTGTAGTTAAGATTTTCATTGTTTGATTAGAAAAATGGATGTAATAATTAAGTTATTCTCTAAAGTCGTGCAGATAAATAARCAATCTTATCGATGTGCAATAACTCAAATACTTAACCCTCTCAGCATAAAGCTGCAACCTCAGAGCAGAACTCACTCACAGGAATAAAAGTAGATTAAAACCTGGGCGTGGAGGTTCTGAAGCCGCCTTTATCTGAGTTTGACTGCTGACTCTGAAAACTTTAGACGGTGAAAAAGAAACAAATATTAACTTTTATTGACCAGAACTACTGTCTAATCATTTTTATAGATTTGGTGTAAAAATTTCAGTTTATATTATTTTTAAAGTTTCTTCAGCCTCAACAGGTACAAGTGAACACACAAATCACAGTTTTGTTTGGTAAACTAGTATAGAATCGTTGCAACAACTGTATCAACTCATTTTTTAGAGACACTAGAATTAAACATGAAAGGGTTTAACTTTCTGGGAATAAAAAAAAGCCCAGGGAGGGTTTTGTCTGGTAAGAAATGACTCAATGGTSAAAAGAACTGAATGAATTATCAGCTGACACAACCGGACTAAAAACAGGCTGAAATGAAATATTCTGCTGCCTTCTAACAAGTAAAACTAAAAAAAGCAACTATTGGATTAATATTGTATATGATTGCATATGAAAAAACAGTAAAAATGTTTTATCATTAAACAGCACACATTTTTGACTAAAATGTAATAATCCTTGTGGCAAAGTTGCTTGAAATGATGCTGAGCATATTGGAGAGGCTTTAGCTGACTGAAACYCAGCTAATCCAGACTGGGAATTTCAATTTTAAGACAACATGTCTGTGACCTAACCCCTGCAGGCTGCCAGAAACTAGCTCACAAATGCTATAAATAAATAAATAAATAAATAAATAAATAAATAAATAAATAAAAGAATTTGCCGACATTTAGCAGCCTGATAAAGTTACTAAAATTAGGTCAACTGTAAAATGCATTTTCCCACAAAGCAAAATTGTCTGGCCCAGTTCTGGCCCAATGTCYGGCCCAGATACAGCAAAGAATGACRGCGCTTTGGTGGCCCAGGTGTGGTTTACCAGTCATGGTCCATGCATGGGCCAGCAACACATAAACCAAACTAGACCTGGGTCAATTGTGGCTTACCATCTTATAAACAGTGCTATCATTACAATTTATTTATTAAAGTCAGAACAATTTATTTATTAAATTCATTACAATTTATTTTTTAAAGTCATTAAAATTTATTTATTAAAGTTAGAACAATTTATTTATTAAAGTCAGGACAATTTATTTATTAAAGTCATTACAATTTATTTATTAAAGTTAGAACAATTTATTTATTAAAGTCAGGACAATTTATTTATTAAAGTCATTACAATTTATTTATTAAAGTCGTTACAATTTATTTATTAAAGTCATTACAATTTATTGTTATTAAAGTCATTACAATTTATTTTAAAGGTAGCGTGACCCCTGCTGGTTGCCGCATGACCTGTACACCTGTTTCCCTGTTTTTGTCATGTGTGTCTTCTTGAATGGGTGTTCTGAAATGTAATTTCAGTGTGCTCTGTACAATGACAATAACGGTATAATCAATCGATCGACCGATCGATTGATATGATTATTATTGAACGTTCGTTTGTTCGTTCGTTAGTAAGTTAGTTAGTTACCTACCAAACAACCAATCAACCAACCAACCAACCAACCAACCAACCAACCAGACCTGGCCCACATCCACTTGCCATGCCAGCAGTGCCAGCTTGACACCAGATTTGGCCGTATGGGTCAATGTAGATTATTTTAAGTCCTGTTTGCCTGTTTTAATGGCACTTTGACAAATTAATTATTGGATGCACATCTACAACTAATCAGCCTAATTTAAGATGCATCTCATACCATTGGAAACTCAAACACGGCTGCAGTTTAGACAGCTCTACAGATACTGAGGTAAACTTAAGTGTGGTATGAACTGAGAGTCATTTAAAACACATACTCCAAGTGTGCAACATCTCCGCTTAAAACTTTGGCATTAACATRTGGAGCGAACCCTGTTTTGTCTTTTAGCAAAAKATCTCATCAACCACTTGATTTTAATGAAACCCATACAAAATAATGACTGGATGAGGATCCACAGCTGGCATCTTCTCCACGTGAAGCATTTACTTTAACTGGAAGTGTTTTTTGCACATTAACCATTCATTATCTTTGCACAATAACGGTCATTCAGTCAGACACAAAACTGCAATCCAGGAGTTATCTGCACTTTAAACTACACTTGGTATGGCTGGGAACGGTTCGTGTTTTTAGTGCACGTATGTCACAACACAAGGTTATTTAACTGCATCATGAATTCATGCTGCTCATGTTTAGCTCCTCTTGGTTTATTGAAGTCACACTTCTTTCCTCTTAATAAACACTTCTCTAAAACATCAAATCATACAGTATGACAGGCGGAAAGCACAAAGGTCGATTTTTAGATGGGACTCCTTTTATTGTTTTATTGGTACAGTAGGTCAACGAGATCCAGAGGCCTAATTATAGAYGTGAGTTTTAAAATCTGCCAGCAGCAGCACTCATCTTGTCACACATCCAGCAAACAACCCAGTTGTTCTGGTTYAATGGGCTGTTTTCTCTCAGTTACAGTCCGGTCATCTGCTCTTCACACAGCCATCATATGAATGTATAATCTTACGCAGAGTGATAAATGTCTGCCTGTATGTTATTACAGTGATTTGTCAGCGGACTCTGTCCCACATGAAAATGTTCATGCAACTCATAAACCTATCAGAAGACAGATAACTATAACTTTTTATTATCTGTCTGGATTTAATTAAACAATAGTTGCACATTTAACAGTGAGGTTTTTTTGGTKAATATAGAAGTTAATATCTTACCTGTTGTAGACAGATCTTTGAACAAAATGGAGATTTTGTCATTTAAAATTAGGTTGTTAAAAAAGGTATTTACAACAGGTAAGATTTTAATTTTTCACAACTTTCCAAACATGTCAAAATGGTTTTATAGTCTTTATTGGTAAGTACGGTATTTTTATAAAGCTCTGAAAACTTAAATGTAACGTTTTTCATATTTTTCTGAAGAGAGTAAGAAAGGAAAAGCAGATTTATTTTTATCACTTAACTCAGCTTTTGTAGATGTAAATATAAAGAACAGAAAAAAATTCTAGAAACAATTTTTTATTATTTACGAGTCACAAGATGTCACAAAAGCTTTAACGAGAGTAGTGTGTTTATACTCCAAAATAAAAGAACACTTACTTTTTAGTTTTTATCATACGTTTTAAAGAGATTAAAGAACTCAAAAACATTTTTTTCAAAGTGCACGAAAAGAACAAACTGTGTGTAGATTACACAATCTGACATCTCATTCTGGTTTATGACAGACGCTTCTAATCTTATCTGGTAAACACTGATAAAAATAGAAAAACCTACGTTTTATTTAATCAGATGTTCAGCATCAGAAACATGTGCCAATGATGAGTTTTCTTTGAAAATTAGGTAATATTTAAGCAAATTATGATGACTTCCACATATACAGTACATTTATTCAGCACACAGCTGAATTGTTTCAGGATAAAGTGCTCATTAGTTTAATTTACAGCGGGTAAAATAAGTAATGAACACGTCACCATTTTTCTTGGTAAATATACTGTATTACTAGAGGTGCTAATGACATGAAATGTTCACCAGATGTCGGTAACAACCCAAGTGATCCATACATACAAAGAAATCAAACCATAAATGTCCAGAAATGAAGTTATTTGTAATAATGACCATGATGTTCCCACCTCCAAACTTCACTGTTGGTATGGTGTTTTTGGGCTGATGTGC